CATTCGTGGGTTGGCACACAAGAGATTAGGACATAGGAAGTCATAGACTAGGTATTAGGGATATAAACAGGATAGACCCTGCTTTTTAGTTGATTCCAGTTAAATATAACAATGAGTATGATTGAAGATATGAAGACCAAGATGCCGTGGCCTTTTGTGTGGTCGCAATCTCCTTTCGTTATATAGAGGTTGTTTGACCTTGTTTTAGCAACTAGATGTGTTCCTCTAAGTCTTCGTACTAATATAACCAAGTTGCCAAAACAAGGCCAAACAACCTCTAATCAGTATGATTGTCTGCAATATGGCTGCCTATGAACCTTCAATTCTGGTCCTCGTTTACGGCACATTCGAGGATTTAAAGACCGGTGATTCTCATATCTAAGCATTTTTTCTACCTAGACTTATGACCGAGTTATCCTCTTTCTCATCACCACTCATTCCCTCTCATCTTTTGGGGCCCTGTCTCTAGCTAGATTTGGAACCACTGGTGTAAAGATAAAACGCTTTCCTTCTCCACTCCTGGACCACGTAAAGTACACTCCTTTTTCCTCTCAAGTTGACAGTCCCGTCACCATAAAAAATCCAGGGCTGAACAATGAATAATTTTAATAAACCTATTTGAAAAGATTTTAATTAATGAGTTGTGTATGAATTTGCAAGTATTTTCTTACCTAAGACTAACAGGCGTACAGAAGTTTACATTAATGACAGAAACGAAATAGTATAAGCAGACTTACTTTCTGAAAATATTCGCATACACGCTTTAAGACCATACCCTTGCTTTGATATTGTGCCTTTGCTTGCTCGTTTGGTGGAAGCAGTTTGTGGAGCTCAGCAATCCACGTGTTAATGCGGTCTCTGCGACGACGTTCAACTAAATGATAAAAAGTTAGCTCAAAAAACATGATCCACCTAAGCAATAATAGTGATTATTCGTGGTAAAGCAGAGTTAAAGAAAAGTTGAAGGCCATAACATGCAACCAGCTATACGTAATTGCATTTCGACTACTCTAAGTAAAATTTTCATTTAAAAAGAAATAACTATCCTATGGAAAAAAATTACCTTTATGATGTAGAAATTAAGATAAGTTCACCAACTTTTTAGGCGCCGCATTAAAACGATTGTGGTCAATATGCATTATCTACATGAGGATTGTGTTAAGTTCGTTTTTGAATCCATATAATCAACCGGTATTAATCCAAGTATTAACTTATGCTATTATTTTGGGTCATTTCATCAAATCATTGCAGACTATAATTAATGTGGTGGCAAAAGTCCATTAGCAAACAGACATTACAAATTATGAACTGTAAATAGTAATGTATTTCTCTGTAATAATCGGTAAGTTTAAAAAACCTCAAGCAATAGATTTTCATCAAAGGCCAATAGAAAACTAATCGATATGAAGCTGATAAGCCTAATTCAAATACAAAGAATTATTTGCAAATGTCAAGATAAAATAGGTAAACAAAAGATGAATGGTCATCTTCGAGAAAGATGAAAAAGATAAATAAAAGTAATCACGTAAGCTTGTTAAGATAAAAAACCTCTACTTTCTGACTGAAGCATGGTAAAAGATATAAAAATACAAAAAATAAGAAAGCCGATCCAGTAGATAGGGTTCTTAACAAGAAAATTCCTTACCAACGATAGTGATAACCAATTTTTTGCTATCATTATGGGTGTTTAAACATTAAAAATTAACTCAAAGCAAGAAAAGAATACACACTGACTAAAAATATCAGATGAAATCTCAAATTTCCAATTCCATTTAAAGATGGCCAAAAAAGAAATGCAAAACAGCCTAAACAAAGTCTCACCTTCATTGTGACTGACTCGGCGTCGAAGATCCTTGGTGTCTGGACTCATCTGGTCAATGAACGTCCCTGGTGAATGAGCTAGATAAAAATAGGTGAATAAATGTAATGAATTAGCTGTTTATAAATCGAAATCACAAAAATAATATATTTATCAGAAAATATGCCTTTTAAGTAGTACTGAAAACAAATTAATTCGACCCATATTATATACATCCAAAGATGTTATCCTTGGAACAAATTTGTTTGAGTGCATATCGTAAACACAAATTATCACAATTACTCAAAAGCAAAGTGGCAGCATAAAACTTTCCTCAAATGAATTTCAGTATTCTTGTTTCGTTAAAAGTAAAGATGTGATAAGCCCATTTTGTTTAATGTGATGAAGGACTTGGAATTTAATTTTGCCCGAATGATATAAATGGACTTTACGTTTCCATTGAATTTCATATAACTTTGCTTTCCAGGGTAGACTGCTAATTCGATCTCGCCTAGGCCTCACTAGCACCTCCAGCGGGACTCGAAGCGTGAAAGTATATTATATAATCTCGTTGGTGTTACCCATTACGTCACACTGTCACAAGTGCCTTTAGGTAACATAGCAGATGTGCATTTCCAGGAAGACCAGGCATTTTAAAATATCACGTTGTGTGGTAGGATTGCCGATGAAGCAAAGAAATACCATTGCCATTCATCACCTTAAACGAAATAGGATGAACACATCTCATGGCAGTCTCGAAGACCTACCTATAAAAGTAAAATGACTGAAACTTCATTCCAGACAATATAAAAGTACATCCTTAGTCATAAAATTTATTCATATATTCAATCTATTATTCATCTAAAATATCTCTAATCAATATTTTCACTGATATCGACCTTTTTTCATAATCATATTTTTAAATCTTAATATAGATTACTGGATAAATAAAGATAAATTTTACTATTTAAATCATCAATAAAATTAGTAAATTAATTTGATTTTTTTCTTCACTAGCTTAAAAAACCACAATTTTGGTAAATTTTTCAAGTCACAAAAATGCAGGGTGCAAGACTTCTTTTATATAATTTGCTCTTGATTTTTGGCGGCTGACTGACGCTTGATGATATCCTAAGACTTATGGCAGCATAAAGACTGATAAGATTAACAATCATCATTTGGATGAAAGGAAAACGGCAAAGAGAAGCTGATTCACCAGAATGGTCGGATGACAATGCCACATCTGAAGATGTGCAAGGGTCTGCGGAGATAAGAAGAAGACTAGTAGGTGCTATTAAATCCGATGAAGCGGAAGTTGGAGAGTTGCAAGCCGCGCCAACGGTGTCGAGTGATGCCGAGACACTGGTAGAGCCTGATCTCACGTAATGGTTCATAGAATCATGACCAGCATAAGTAACGATCTGAGGAATCTTGATAGGTGTGAAAAATAAAAATAAAAATGTGAAAATGTATAGTTGATCAAAAATTAATTTATATGCGAAAAAGACGAGAATGAATATAGGATATCTTTGAAAAAGTTTCTTCTTAGGAGATCATCTAGTGCGCCCAGATAATTGTATTTGCTTGCCTGATTTGGCGCTGAATTTGACTGCGAGAGAGCAGACGACGCCACAGAAGAAATTGGTAGAGACAACTGATGCCCAATACCAGGTGCCAACGGAGCCATAACTACAGCTGCAGTCGTCACTATTGAAGTAGACGATGAAGTCAGAGAGGGAGGCGATGCAGTAGTTCGATCAACTGTCTTAGTAGAGCTCGAGCCTGTAGGATAAAGAGATGTAGGTTCACAAGTGGAAGAAGTCCAAAATACGGAAGCAGGTGGATCGGGTGAAGAAGGCCTACTAGTCCCGTGATCAATTGGTATATATGCTGCTTCGTGAGGTGGTGTATGGGAAGATATCAGAGATTGCTGATGTGGATAAGTATGTGATTGGTGGTTATGTGAATGCAACATGTTATGAGTAGATGGAGAGAACTGGCTCTGTGAGATACCATTCGATGTCTCAGGAATCATCTGATTCACTGTAGAGCTATTAGGAACTACATGCAAGTTGGACCGTTGATTGGTAAGTTCAGATGTTGAGGAAGATGTTCTGAGAGATGTAGTAGATGTTGTAGTTGAGACGGAAGTAGCAGTAAGACCAAATTCCCGGTGGGTCGGTGGCCCACCGAGTTGACATCGAACTCCGGCTCCGGTGACGATCTCATTTGTTACTGTAGAGGCTCGCCGAACAGACGTGCACTCATGATTAGTTCTGCATCCGGGACTAGGCCCAGTTCCGGTTGCTGAGCCAAGGCTGCGCAGGGAATAAGCAGCAATTGAAGTGACGGACGACGCTTGTGCCGAAGAGACTATTGTACCAGCTATAGACTCAATTGCAGGTGGAGATAAATCAGGTTCGGGCTCTGATGATAGAGACAGAATGAGAAGAAATAAACCTTGCTCAAGATTCATAATAAGCTGTCTTTCACTCGATTTCGGTAAAGTGATGAAGCTCAAGTCTCGTTCATCTGCCAATGTGAATGAAGCAGTCCAAAAATAATGCTGAAAAATCTTTCATTTCTTTCTAAAAAGCCGGTAGAAGGGATTTGTAAATTTGCCTTGCCGGATAGCGGATTGCCCTGAATTTGTGACTGTTGGATTACGCAAAGAATACCTCAGCTCATATTTTGAGACCCCCAGGAATCATTGTGATGGACATCAGCAGAACCAGAAAACATCATTTGCAAACAATAACCGAAAAATAGCAAATCAAGAAAGGTGGCGGGCTGAAATCTTGCTTACCTATTATACTTAACTTTGCTATCTTAATGAGGTACTTCATAATTTAGCTACTTCAATATATATATATAATCTGATACACGAAAGGAGAGCAAATGTAATCATAGCATACTTTATGTAAATAAACCAGCGTGTGATCCTGCAGTCACAAATTCTATCTTTTTACAGTATCCGGTAAGGCCAATTTACGAATCCTTTCCAGCCACCCTTTCAAAATAATTAAAAGGTATGCCAGCATCAATCAAGAGATTCTTCAAAATAAAAATTCTCTTCATACAACCCAAGCCTAGTCAGCAGGCTAGTAGTCGCCTGCCATAGGTTAGTTCTGGGAAGAGTAATATGCCTATAATTCTCTGAAATAGAACGATATTGGCGGACTATAATTCATGAACTATTGTTAAACGCATAACTCGTAATGCGGAGCAAAATTTGCTTTTCTAATTTTTTCAATATATTCCAATTAACAAGGTAAACTTTCTCAGTTAACAAATAATTCCACTAATTACAAACTCGGAGAAGAAAACTTGAAAAAACGCACATCAAACGAATAATGTATTCAGGGGATTTTCAGCCTATAAATACAAGGGAAACTAGAATCATTTACCAAATGATTTGAACAATAAGAGGCAAATACGCAGGAAAGTAGGCTGAATTTGTTGCAAACGGC